GCGATGCCGATGCATGAAGACGGTTATCTCCCCAATCTTGCTCTGTAGCCCGTTACAGTTAAATTGAAGGAGCTTCATGTGGTTCGGGAGACGTGTCGTGATGTGGGGAGTAATCTGTCGGTTTATCGATTCGTTTGGTTCAGGATAGGTCTGTTGCCGTGTAGATGCGCTGCTTAGTCGGCTATCTATCTGTTTTTGGCCCATAATATCTTCGGTAAATAAATAAATAAAGAAATTAAAGTTGCGTCAAAATATGTCGCCAAATTTTGGCCTTAAAATATGACAAAGTGAAAACCAGTCTTAAGTTGCCCAAAAGCACAGGGCGATTCATGTTAGGTATACACGTAGAGCCAATTTACACGACGACTTTGCACCCTGCGTTTTTGGCACGTTCCCTTTTAAAAAAGTCTTCGAAAATCCTCGTGCATTTACACGAGGACTTTTTCTTTGCAGCGTTTCTTGCGTATTTTTGACATTTACGCGTAAAATTTTCTTTGGTCAACTCTTTCGTCCTCATTTTTAAAGTGGAGCGAATCACGAACTCAAAGCAAAAATACGAAAAAGTGAACTCGATAAAAGCGAAACGTCAAAAAAAAACCCCTCGATTTCGCTCGCCGTGCGTGCTTGCCTTCCCCGCTGACTTCGCTACACTTCTTGCCATCAAGCTCGACACTCATGACTTTCCACCCAGGGTGAAAAGTCATCGTGTAAATTGGCTCGTAGAGGAAAAAATTTCGGAGCAAACTTTAACTTGGTATCAGGTTTCGATACGAGTACTCCCTTTTCATACCTACTCAGTACTTGTTTCAAAAGTATTGATGCCAAATTACTTGTTATCGATCGAAAAGTATCGAGTATGTACTTGTATTTACAAGTATCAAATCATTCCTACCGGCGAGTGCCGCGAAAAGCAATTATTTTTTAATTTTCGAAGATTTTATTTTCCGAAATGAGCAAAAAAGGGGCAATATCAAAGGCGTTGGCGAAAAAAGTATACCAACCTGGTCGGGTAGTTGAAGTTAAGGTAAAGTTCTTCAATTTGTTGTCCCGGTAAGTCGTATAGTTTCCCTTTCAGGATATCGAAGATACAGTCAAGTCCCCATTTTTCTCACCTGTACAAACTCGGGGACAGCGCAAAGTAAATAAAACTCAACTGCATAAATTAGTGCAACCCGCTAAAGCTCCAGCAAATTGTTTAAAGGAGCAAGATGATTTCAAAGAAATGATTTGTAACCCTGGTAGTAGTGGGAAATCCAGACAACTTACAGATGATAAAGCACTGGTTAAAGATGATACAAGCAAGCTAAATAGATCTGGCAATCCTGAAGCTAAAGAAATGGAAAATTCGGACAAGTGGGAACCGAAAAATTGGCGTTTGATGTTAGAGAACATCAGAGCGATGCGCTCTGCAACTGATGCACCTGTGGACACTATGGGATGCCACAAATGTTCAGACAACGAAGCCGATGAAAAGGTAAACAGTTTTTCGCACAGTTGAAGCTCATATTTCCAACCTCAATTTAATGTATTTTTGGCAATAGACCCAAAGATTTCAAAAACTTGTTGCCCTTATGCTTTCTAGTCAGACTAAAGACGAAATCACTTACGAAGCCATGCAACGGCTAAAGGATAATCAAATGACACCGGAAATAATTGTGACCATGGAGAGAAGTAAACTTGAAGAGTTACTGAAGCCTGTGTCATTTTATAAAGTAAGCATATGTAATTTGTATGTATATCTAACTACGGTGACCATATTTATGGCAGCCCAGTACGCGACTAAAAAACGTTTTACACTGCTTATTCTTGACTCAAGTCAAGAAATTTGGCTTGACAAAGTTAAGTTGAGTTGGAGAAACCATCCCTATGTATGTACACAATATTTTGCTAGCTGCCCATCCTTTGCACGAAAATCTTGCGTGCTTAATCGGAAAAGCACTTAAGCGAATTTTATTTATTACTTCAATTAGGATGGTATCCGAATCCCTATGAAACAAAATATTGGTGGAGGGAGCACTTTCGAATGGTATCTATACAACTGCATAAAATGATAGCCGTTTTGATTGTTCTGTGAGATGAGCAAAAAAAATAAAAGTTTGTAACATAAGGGTAAGTGTAGAGCAAGTGCAGGTAAAAGAAATACTTTCTTCGATAATTGATAATAGTTGCAAATTTTAAAGGCCGGTATCGTTAATGTGCAGGTATTTTTAATGCATCCATCGGAGAAGTTTCCTTACAAATGCTAAAAATAATACCGGTGATGAGTATTTTCGGGTGGGTATGTTAAATGTGCACTTAAGCATAAATGCAGCAGGGCAATATATACTGCACATACATATGTATGTACATATGTATAATAGTATGCATTTTTTTTTTAGAATATATGGAAGTTTGAAAACTCCTTGGTAAAACAAAAAACCAAAAGTACATGAATACTTCAATAATACTAATGGGCCACTAACTTCTGTTCCTCTCATCGTTATCCAGTTTTTTATACCCTTAATTCGAGTTCTAGCTAATAGGACGAAACATATTTTTAAATAACGATTTGTGTATGTTTTCTGTCCATTTGGACTTATACGGTGTTCACATCAGGCGATTTTCCAGGCAATTTTAGAATCGATTAGTTGAATCCAAAGTTAGCTGCATCCCAACTTCATTGGAAGGTTGAAAGGTCGTTCACACACGTTTGTTGCTTTCAACTAAAAGTTGCCTGTAAAATCGCCATATGCGAACACCGTATTACCGTTATACCACTCTTTTAATGGAGTTACAGTCTAGTAGGAGTGGCATCAGTGTTATTTTTCCGTTCCCTGGACAGAAACCGAACGACTCAAATTTATTCCTGACCAGGGATTGTCACTCCATCATTCCCCAAAAAACCTTTGGGTAATTTGTATGCTGTTACAACACCAGCTTTTTTTTGAACAATAACTCGCACATATGCAAAACTGTCCCATATGAAAACCGGTTTTTACCGTGCAATCCGTACACCGTCCAAGGGCTTGGCAAGACTTCGATAATGCCCCTAATATGAGCCGTTCAGTGTTCACATCGATTAACTCCACTTTCTGAAAAAAATCTTAAATTTAAGTGTTGTTGTTGTAGCAGCATACATGTTCCGCAAAGGGATTTTGGGGAGTGTTGCTGGAGTGACAGTCCTTGCCCAGATATAAATCTGGGTCGTTCCGGTTGCGTAGACCCAACTGTCGAGGGAACGTCAGCACTTGGTATAGTCATAACCATGATAAAAATATTAGAAGGTATCGGTGGTGTACTGTACTTATGTATGTACCTAAATAAATTTCGATACTACAGAAAACCAACATCTCCCGAAGGGGGTTGTTGGTTATCTATCTTCTATATATAAATGTGAATGACAATAAACAATAATGCCTTAAAGAAAAACCCGAAACTTTATCCAAAATAAAATGTATGATAATTGTATTGGAAAATGCTGTGAAATCATATTAGAGTTATTATTCGTAAGAAATTAGATAGTATTTCTTCTATTATATAATTTATTGGAGATGGTTGGTTGGTTGGTTGGTTTAAGTGAATTGTCCCTCAGGTGACAAGCAATTAGCAAGTTTGCCATTTTGATTCCACAACTCGTGCAACCTACAGCCATTTGGCGGCTTTAATAAATTTCAGTACGTCATACAGAGAGAGGCAGCTGCACTATGAAATATTCTGCAGGAATGGTTTGCCGAGTGTCTTTAGCCTCATCCTTGCGAGGTCTGGACTCTCGCACAGCAAGTGTTCGACTATCTCTTTTGAGCCCGGGTCATCGCAGCTGCGACAGAACCTATTGAAGGGCAGTCCTATCCATTCGGCATGTACCCCAACGGGCCAGTGCCCTGTGCGCACTGCAGTAAGTTTGTAGGCATTTGTTTTGCTCATTCCTAAGAGAGCTTTGGTTTTGAGTGAGTCGTAGGACACCCAGAACTGCCGGGCAATTCTGTAGGATCCTGTGCAGTACCTACCATTTTTCACCGTAAGTAGGTTATTTACAATCTATGCATCTGTGCTAAGTTTCAGTTCCCCAGTATAATTGGCTTTAGAGGTATAGTGGTTTTCACATTTTAGTCTATATGTCAGATGCCACACCCCCTATGTACCGGGACTAACATTTCGGGATTAGAGAAAGCTATATCCCTTAAATCGATGTATGTTTCATTGAAATCGAGCGAACCGTGCTTTCAAAAAAGGGATTGCAAAATTTTCTTGTGGCCTATTTATATATAGATATCGGACATTTCGTGTCCATTACAAACTAAATAAATTACACTTAGAAATACATAATAAGGCAGGTTCTGCACTCCACTTCCGGGTGAATTTCAATCCCTGCTAATTTGAATTCAAAGCGAATTATATTAAAATTCACTCGGAAGTGAATTGCAGAACCTGCCTCTTTATAAATTTTTTCTTATCCTTGTTTTAGAATAAAGCTAAATATTTGCAACTGGCCTCACAAATACTGATAGACAAATACAGCTGTGACATTCCGGGCACCATTAAAGAATTAGAAGCATTACCCGGCGTCGGTCCCAAAATGGCGCATATATGCATGGCGACGGCATGGAACGAGGTAACAGGAATAGGCGTCGACGTGCATGTACATCGAATTACAAATCGTTTAATGTGGCTACCTAAACCTACAAAACAACCGGAACAAACCCGTGTGGCATTGGAATCATGGCTCCCGCAGGGACTGTGGCAAGAAGTTAATCATTTGCTGGTTGGTTTTGGACAAACAGTTTGCAAGGCTGTGCGACCACATTGTGTGGAATGTCTGAACCGAGAAATATGTCCAGCGTCAGAACATAAACCTGGCCCAAAGAAAAACTTAATTATCGACAATTGTAAAAATGAGATCGCCCCTAAAAAATCAAAGTTGAAAAAGTAAAAGAAATCTTAAATAACTACCTAATTGGACATGCATAAGTTGTCTACTTGTTTCTATCCTATATTGATCCAACAAATAAAATGCAATTAAACTTGTTTCAAATGCATATATTAGTTTAAAGTAAATAAGTTTTATAAATACCAATGAAAATTGATTGATCATTCCCTATGTCATATCTTAAAATAAATATGCGCGCAGTATCAATAAAAATTAAGGGACTTCAGTTTGATCATAACATCTGGTGAATACAAGGCATATCAATATGCCTTGGGTGAATATAAAAATCTTTATAAATTACTGCCCCAACTGCTGCAGTTTCTATCTTCTCAGTTAGCCCTTCTATTTTTGTTTTGTTTCCTGATCAGTTACATAACGAACATAAATAACTGGATAGGGTACACTTGCTGGCCGCTCTTCATATTCGTCCATATAAGAACATCCAATGGCCAGTGTGCTGCCATCGTGACTGAAGTTTAATGACGAGATCGATGTGTCATATTGATGGAACTGGCAGAGACGCTTTTTATTGAAACCATCCCAAATATTTACCAAACAGTCTGAACCGCCCGTCGCAAATGTATTGTAAACGTTATGAAAACTTATAGCGTTTACAGGGTAAATATTTTCGATGTTATCCTCTTTGACACGATGGCACTTAAAGGCAAATTTGCGCTTTTGTACTTCTGGGTCGGGATCTAAGTATTCAACAGCAACACGTCCTTCAATAGAGGACATCACATAGCCCTCTTTATTAGGAAATAAACGTATGCAACGCGTTTGATACTTTAGCGATGATTCACGTTTCATCATATACTCTTCCATTTTACGCAAATCCCAAATGAGAACTTTGCGATCTGAGGTGGCCACTACTATTTTTTCATCATTCACTGACATGGAATACACTTTGCCGTTACTTTGTTCATATGTGCCCACACAACGCTTTTCCCGCATATCCCACAATTTAATAGTTTTATCCCAACTACCCGTTAAAATACCATTTACAGACTCTGCATATTCCACACAACGAACAGCATCATCGTGAGAACCGACTATGTTTTCAGTGTGCGTATTCACGTCGTAGAGGCGCAGTTGTTTATCCAGTGAGCCGCTTACAACATTTACAATGTCCTTAAATGAGCAACCTTTTTGTTATTGTTAAACCTTGCAAATCGCAATTTCTTACCATAAACGCAACATCCATTACGGGCATGTCCTCTGCGAACTTCGTCCGCATGGCGTTGTTCACGACATCGTAGAAACGAACTGTGCCGTCCCAAGCGGACGCAATTAGGTATTGATTAGTTTTAGGTCCAAATTTTACTGCAGATATAGCATCTTCAGGTGGATTATTTAATTTTACTTCTGTGGGACGCATTCTTTACTTGCTTTTATAGAAAATTTTAGATTTTTTGCCTAACCTGCGTCCTTTTAAAACTGAACCGGCGTCCAAAATTAGAGTAGGGATGTCCCGATACAAGTACGTACTCGATACTTTTGTTTCGATACTAACTACTTTTTTTACTCGAATCGTTGTTTCGATTCGTACTTGGTATCGAAAGAAAAGTACTTGTATCGAATCGATTTGAGTAAGTGCCATATCTTGTCAGCATCTTTTTTATGAATAATAAATGCTGTAAGCAATGACACCGCCAAAATCTAAAGTATGGATATATTTTTACAAAATTACTGATACCACAGCAAAGTGCAAGGAATGCTTTAAAACCGTAAAGTTTTGTGGGAACCTTTCAAAGGTTGGAATTGTTGTCTAATTAATGAATAAATATACATATCGTTACTAATGACCAAATATACATATCGACACCTTAGTGGAAGATTGATCTATCTCGGCAGCCAGTTCGAAAAAGCCGTATCTCAGAAAACTATTCAAGAATGCCCTATTTCAGAAATTGATTGAAAAACGCCCTATCTCAGAAAGCTTTTCCAGAACGCCCTATTTCATAATTTGGTTCAAAAACGTCCTATCTCAACTGAAAATATACTGAAAATATGTTGGGATAGGGCGTTTTTGACCCGAGTTATGAAATAGGGTGTTCTTGAAACATTTTCAGAGATAGGGCGTTTTTCAATATATGTCTGAAATAGGAGTTTTTGGAAAGTGTTCTGAGATAGGAAGTTTTCGAACTGGCTGTCGGGATAGGTCGGTCTTCCACCCACTGTATTGTAAATACAACACAAATTGCTATTTATTTTTCGTTCATGTTCAACAAAATAATACCAATAAAAAATTAAAAGTGTTTAAAGTCATGTTTTTAGTTATTTAGTTCGACTTTGTGTGAAAAACGCATAACGAAAAAGGTATGCCACAGATAAACGCCGGAAAATCCCTTTCACTTTGTTGCATATACAAGAATGAAAAATTATCGATATAAGTAGGTATCGATACTTTCGGTTTACTCATATAAGTAGTACCCAAATAACGATTTGAGTAAACTCATTTAAGTAGGTATCGATATTTTGATGGTATCGGAACGTCCCTAGATTAGAGCCGGCGAATCCGAAATGTTTTAATCGATTGTTCAAATATCTCGATTGTTCTCGATGTTTTCTCTCGTTGACGAATTTTCACCCGAAAATACTCGTGTTTAACAATTCTTTATTGGCGCTGTAACCGCCTTAAGCCTGCTATATAGTTCAATGGGAGCGTGAGCTTTTTATTTTGACCAATATCTCCGTTATTACTTAACTTTTTGCAATAGCTGATACATCAAAAGATAGAGAGTTAGAATATCTTTCAGAATTATAGGATAAAACTAATTTATAAAACATAATATGCCTTTTTTAAGGGCAAAGAATTCCATTTGTATGCTTATAGACGCTCACACACATCTGTCAACACTTGTCGTTCACAAGCGAATGCTTTGCGTACGCACAAATGTGTGCTTGAAAAAAAGGCATATTATGTCTTTCAAAAGAGCTTTTGCGTTGGCCAATGCAGAAGAGCGTTTAAAAACAAAATTAGTCTGTAAAGTCAAAATTTTTGATTTAAGTTGAAACCACTAAGGCACAGTATCCGCCTCACATATAGGCCAATAATAGTAACGCTGTGATACCATATGGAATACCAATCCCTTTCGGTGTCATGAGCTTTACCGATGGTCTTATTTCCACCTGTGAGATCTCTGCCAGGCATGCGTAATCTTTTTGTATGATCTTGCAACTACAACATTGGTGCGATGCGTATGCCAATGAAAGTTCTTATAGGGAAACTCAAGAGCACAGAAGTGCGTTTTCTGTTATAGGAGGGCCAAGAATCCTCTCTGTCCCACAGGATTAAAAGTTTTCCGGTACATTGCTAAATGAGTCGTGTGATCTCTTAAGTATCTTTCAAATGAAGCAATTGATATACCTACGGTGATCTTTCCTTGTTAATTCACCACTTACAATTCGTGGTAAAATTTATGAACTGATTTCTGGGTAGATGCAAGACCGCATGATCGTGCATGAGGACGTCAGAAAAACTCATCCTTCATTTAGACATCTGAAAACTAAATTCGTATAACTTAAACATAGTGCCAAAGCAGACCAACCACACGGGGTCTCTATACATTTCCTCTGCAGCGCCATCCATTTGGTTCATTTTCTGCAAAACCATTCTTCTTCTTCTTTTTTGGCGCTGTAACCGCCTAAGCGATTTTGGCCGAGTTCAGCAAAGCACGCCAGTCGTTTCTCTCCCTCTGCTACCACCAGCGGGTTCCGAGTTGAATACTTTCAGAGCTGGAGCGTCGGTGTCCATTCGAACGACATGACCAAGCCAGCGGAGCCGCTGTATTTTAATTCGCTGCACTATGTCCATATCGTTGTAAAGCTCATACAGCTCATCGTTCCATCGTCTGCGGTACTCGCCGTCGCCAACGCGTAAAGGACCGTAAATCTTCCGCAAAATCTTTCTCTCAAACACCCCAAGAGCCGCCTCATCGGATGTTGTCATTGTCCATGCTTCTGCGCCATATACCAGTACGGGCATGATGAGTGACTTATAGAGCGTGGTTTTCGTACGTCGAGAGAGGACTTTACTCCTGAATTGCCTACTCAGTCCAAAGTAGCACTTGTTGGCAAGAGTGATTCTACGTTGGATTTCAATGCTGACATTATTATCGGTGTTAATGCTGGTTCCCAAGTAAACGAAATTCTCTACTTTCTCGAAATTGTAACTGTCAACAGTGACGTGGGTGCCAAGGCGCGAATGTGCTGACTGTTTGTTTGATGAC